GTATGTATGTATGTATGTATGTATGTATGTATGTATGTATGTATGTATGTATGTATGTATGTATGTATGTATGTATGTATGTATGTATGTATGTAAATCATCCGCTGCTAAACAAATAAAGCATGGCCTTTCTGGTCACAAACAGTAAGCCATGATAGTCAGGTTACAGTTTGAATAGAAAAAGCATCTACATATTTATAAAACATGTAAAACATGCTTTGTTAAAAGAAAATAAAATTATGATAACTTCAACACTGAGTACACAGCATAGGTGTCGGAAAATAAGGTACAACTTTTTTAAACTTTTTATACATCATGTTTTTAATTAAGTACCACTAAGTTTTTTTTTAACTAAGTGGGGTGCAATTTTTCTGCTTTCATCTTGGTTTCCAATCCCATTCCTGTAAAATATGATGCATTCACTCCTTCCCACTTTCCAGACCCTGATAAATATAAGCTGATGAAAGTAAATTGCAGTCTGGCTTCACCGCATGAGGCTGACAAACAGCTTTAATTCCTTACGGCTTCATGGACAACAAAAGATGGAATATAAACACCAAGGGGTACTAAAAGTGTCTGCAATAAAACACTGAACAAATACCCCGCTGTGTTTTACAGAAGGGATTGCATTTGTAGGAGCTTGTGATAAGTGTGTTGTGAGGGTATACGTTAGCAAGTGCATGCAAAAGTGTTGCTGCATGTGTGTGTGTGCGATCCTCACCTGCCCTCCAGGACACACCAGCCACAGTAAGGATCCCTCAGTGCCACGCATGATTGGCAGTCTGTCTTTTGGAGGCACGTCTGCACTGGCACTTTGGTGATCTTGAGAATTACAAAATGGGAATATGATCAAACAGTGCACCTCAGGGGAGACGCTGCACAAAACAGGAGGCATTTAAGATACAGCTCGAAATGTCTCCAGGTTTGTAGGAGGTGTGCAAAACAAGTTCTGTAAGAACACATGGTCGTGTTCAATTACCGAAACAATTTACTCAGTGCAAAAAGTAAATGCTTGCTGTATTGAGTAGTGGAATACAAGTACCTATAATTACCTCATGAGCACTTCTACAGTATTAGCTGTTACTTTAGGCTGTCTGCATTCTTCAAACTAACTGCTTGTATGATTGCCTAATTACATCTGAAAACCAACAAACAGCTTGTGTGTTTGGATATGGAAAAAGTAGCCAAGGTTCTAGCTCAATTTGTTATACATCCTATTCATCAGGTTTTTTTAAGCCAAACTTGATACAAATATTCAAACACTTTGAATGCCTTCCAGGAGAGACAGACTAAAAATATTCCCCATATTTAAATGCTTTCACATCTTGCTCGTCTGCGAGAGAGTTGGCATTTAACTCTGCTTTTGACTGCGCCTGGCAGAGCGACGAACACTTTTTTTTACTTTCAAGGCAGCTAAATGTATTATTTTAACCAGTTCTGTTCCAGTACAAGCCGACCTGTAACCCTGGATTCATCTGCTGTAGGACTCTTCCAAAAAGACTGAGTGAAGTAAAATGGAATCTTACTTCAGCCTACACATGGTGCTGTTTTATAAATATGAGTGCTAGAGATAAATTAAATTTGTAATCTGTGTGTCAACCTTGGACAAAGTTGATCTGCCTCTTTGAGTTAAAGCAAACTGTAATGCTCAATTATGTAATATGCAGTTCAAGCAGAAGTATGTATTACTGTCAAAATGAACCGTTCTGAATAACGTTATTTTCACAAAGAATTCTCACAATGATGTTTTCATCAAATAAAGGCCTAGCATCCTTTAAATGAATGAATATCATCCGCAACCTTTTATGCCAAAGTTTTAAACAAATTCCAACATAAGCTAGGGTCAATTAGTTGTGGTGACCAACCTGAATTGGGGTGACTCCAATAGTTAATCAGTTGTTGACGTACACATCCACTGATTACTTTACATTATATCACAATCTTTCCAGTGGCTCAAAAAGACATTTAGCTAACAGACAGCACTGACTAATAGTTAATGCTGTTTAGCTCAGCTACTGATACTCTGTATTTTAACTCAATAACTAAAATGGATTGATTTATAGACATTACTATGCTTGCTAAAGTCAGTTTGCTGTAGCAGATATTTTGAATTGAACTGACACAAAATTTAATAAACCATACATTTTAAAAATTACAGTTAAAAATGCTTTAAACTACAGACAGTTGTACAAGAAATTAATCAGATTTACATTTTTCCCTTTAATTTAATATATAAACCTTTTTTATTTGAATAGAATTTTTATTTGACTAATAAAGACGATGTATACTTTGTTGTAACAATGTTTCTTGGTAATATATCATACACTGATGGAAAATCTGTTAATGTCCCTTTTAATTTTTTATTTTTTCACATTCCCTTTTTATTTTATTTATCTTTCTTAATTCTTCCCACCCTCTCCTGTACTGAGCTGCAGTAATGTGCAAATTTCCCCACTGTGGGATCAATAAAGTTTTGTCTTATCTTATCTTATCTTAAATGGTGCCACATTTGTAAGGAACATGCATTTGTGGGATGAGCAGTAGAGCTGAGTATGTGGGTTACACATATGAAAAAAATGCCAAATCTTCTCTGTCATTGTCAAACAATTTATTTTGCTGTTGCTGTTTACTCTTGTTTTGAGCTTCTGGTACCCCCAGGTGCTGCCAATCAGAAGCCTGATACTGTATAAGATTTATTGCCAAGAAGCAGTGTTACAAAAAGGAAATAATCTATATGGCCTTACTTTTTGTATTAAGTTTAGTTAAAGGCCCTATTAATCACTATATTATCTGTTTCATTCAAAATGGGCAAAAAGGAAGCATGTTGAAATGTAGTGAATTTTGAGCACCATCATAAAGCAAATAACCTGAACAATAACCCCTGTCTCCTGTGTTGCCTGCATGAACATGACACATTAGAACAAATCCAGAAGAAACCCACCTTTTTTTCTGTGGTAATATAGAGGTGGCTGTGCGCGAGGTCAAAGAAAAGGTTCTTGTTGACCTTCTCCCCAAAGGTGTCACCAGGAGCCTTGCTGTACTCGTCCGCCTCCGTGTTCAGGTGTACCTGGACAAATAAAAGCGCAGCACTGTTAGGCATGAAGTTTATTATTAACCTCGCCTCACTTCCCGCAGGCAAACGTTTATAGGGATGGGGGAAGAGAATGCAACAGATAAACACACAATTGCACCTTGAAGACCTCTCCCTGGTTGTTGCCCAAGAAGGCGATGGTGTGATCATTTTCCACAGCAACAGCCACAGAGGTCAGACGGCTCGATGTGCTCCACACTGCATCAGCCTTTAAGGCAAATCTGGGCTTGCTCGCCAGAGGGGAAGCCAGAAATTCTGCACCACATTTGTAGTTTTCTAACATGTCCTTCTGCAAAGAGAAAAGATTGTGTATTAGGATTATTATGGTGTCTATTTCTCCCTTTAATCCGAAACAAAACTCCAAGTGTAAAACTCAGATTAATGGCTTCAATTTATAGGGTGTGATATTGATTGTATAGATATTTTTGTTTTTCTTTTTTCTCCTAAAAAATTCAATAAATCACACTTACTGCAATTTTTGATTTGCAAACATCGGTTTTGGATGATGAGTAGGGGATGTCCACAGCAGGAAATCCTGAAATTTTCCCGAGGTCACTGTAACAAGCGCTGATGAGATCGACTAGCCTTTCGTTGATGGAGTTCAGTGGGTACATGCAGAGCCCCGATTTATTTTCGTCTTCCTCTGAGCTGGCCACCATAAACAGGACTTTATTCCACGGGACCACCTTCCCGTACGTACCTGACAGAGTCATGGCCCGAGCCAGTTCTTTGCCTGGAGAAGCCACAAAAGCAGCTTGGACTCTGTTGTACTGGTTGTTTTGCCCGCAGTTTAACTGAAGCTCAGTGTGAGAATAGTAATGGGGATCGTTTTCACAAAGGCGGGACACAAAGGTGAGGTTTTTAATATCTGTGCCGTCAAGGGTCCGAGAAAAAAGGAAATATACAAAACCGTCCTCTTTGAAGGCGTGCCGGAAAATGTGCAGGTACCTGGGAGCGAAGGGTGTCGTCTGGACTGTTGAAGCCTCGATGATGCTCTCAAACACGACCCAGTCCTTGTAGTCCTGTAGGATTCGTGTGCTGATGAGTTTTGTACTGTCCAGCTCTCCATAGCCCTTCCCAACCAGAAACACATCAAAGGTGTGTCCATCTTTTTTGTACGTAGACATTACTCCCACCACGTTCACGTGATTCTCTATGCTGGCGACGTAAGTCCTCTCCCCCTTGCTGTCACTGTAATACAGCTGCTGCTCCACGTTGGAAAGGTTGAGCAGGGAGCAAATGCCTCTGTAGCGACTGCCGCAGACTATGAGGGTGCCATTGGCCGGGTGGATGAGCAGAAGCTTGTTGAGGTTCTCCATGAGCTTTGTGTTCTGGCAGGCTGAAGCTGGAGGCGTGCAGGTACGGGCATCTTCTTTGGGGCCCGTCTCGGCACGGGCCTCAACTTGAAGGGTCGGCGTGAGCTGGAAGATTGTATTGACTGCTCCCAGATAAATGCGGCCCGTCTGGGGGTCCTGGACTACGTTGTTAATGGGGGTCTCAGAGTGGAACTCCAGAATAGGAACGATGCGACTCTCCTCCTGGGCTTGTGATCTGGACTGGCACAAAAGGAAGAGGAGGAGGGAAACCCAGCTTGCCATCTCTGTTGGGAACAGAAAAGATAGAGGCACTGTTTTATTACTGAAGCTAAATGAACATATAAAGTCACATTAATGGCTAGAAACAGCAGTCTTCAATTGCAGGCACACAAAACAACAACAAAACACATAGTGCTCACATTAATTTATGCAAAAATAAGTGCGGATAATGTACACTTAAAAACAGTTTTGAATTGTGGAACCGGATTATTATAATAGTCACTCTGAGTTACAGCCTGCTCCTATAGAGATGTAGAAACTTTGAAAAAATAAATAATTAAATGCATACATTTCCACGTAGGGATGCTTATAATGGTGTTCTAAACATAAAATATGACAGGAATACTTATGGAGATTGTTTCAATTGTTTCTGCTAAACTTGGGCTATGTCCACACAGCATGTCTTAATGCTGAGTTCGGATGTTTTTTCAAAAATCAGAATTTTTTTGGGTAGACATTCGTACATTATATTGATCTGCTCACACCTCACTGATGTCAAAGTTGGATGAACATGCGATATGATTGTTCAGACTGCAGTTGCATTGAAAAACATCAGATATGCATCTAATTTAGTACAACGTACAGAAAAGATCTGTCAGATTTTTTAAAAATGGATTTGTCACATTTAGACTGTCATGAAAATTTTAATATGGGATGCATGGGGGACAATAAATCAAACGTATCCCAAGTCACTAGTTCCTATTAAGCAGTCAGTCTCAAACATACTATTACTTGGTTCTAAACAAAAGTATCTACAGCACCAGCAAAACTAAAGGCTTTGAACTTGGTCTTTTCCTTTAAAAGACTTCAAGATATTTATAGAGCTTGGTTTATTGGGGTAAAACTCCTTTTAAAAAACTGCCTCAAGCTATCAGTGTGCAGTGTAGGTGTTTGAGTGTGACTCAAATCTGTGCTCCAGTTATATAAAAGGCCATGTTATTTTAGATTTAATTGACATAATATCAGAAAAGCTCGCTGGGGAGAAAATAAAACCGCTCTGTGTAGGGGTGACAAAAGATTAGGGCCAAAAGTGAGATCCCAAACCACAACAGCAGTGAAAGCTTATTCATAAAGGATGAATCTGAGCAAGTTTGAGACTTTGCCCCACCTCAGAATAAAAAAAAACACCCTCCAAACACAAAGTGCTCAGGAAGTATGTTTTGTCTCTGGGAAACATGATCAGGCAACGTTTTTGTGAAGTACAGACAGGAACGTGTACCGGCAAACAGCAGGTGCCTGAGGAGACGTCGCTGTCTGCTGTTTGCCCAAGCTGTGGTAAATATGGAACTGCAGGTGGTTTTGCAGCAGCTATTGCCCACACAACAAATGTGCATCTATTTTTGAATGGGGGCTTTGAGCTTCTACGCTCTTCGTAGTGCCCTCTTTTTCATTTCACCATGTCAGTCAAGTTAACAGGTGCATTTTATCAAATGTGAGCTCCCCAATGAAACACGCCAAAGCTGTGTTTTAGAGCTTTAACCTGCTGCTACTCACCGGACTAAGTGGGAGAACCATTGATTAGACATTTGCCTGAAGGGGAGCCATGGTAATTTCACCGGAAATGCTCATTTGCATTTAAGCACCCGCCAATCGATTTTATGTATTTCCCCACCACCACCACCATTTACCGCCTTATTCCTCCTTCCCACCTTAACCAATTTCACTGCATAAATGTATCATGCCCTTTTCAATTCACAGCCTTAAATATTTCCATTAAAATTGAAATGGTGCAATAAAATCACTGTCTGTGCTGATTCAGGATAGAAATGTGTGCAGTTGGTTTTTACTGCTTTAATCTAGCAGGAGGGGCAGGAGGTGGTCTGTCAAGATTTAACAGAATTTTCTTGAGGTTACGTGTGCACTGTAGAGGGGACAAATAATAATAATAATAATAAAAACTGTTGAACAAATACTTTGGCTTCAAAGTGACAAAATTTCTATTTCAAAGGCATTTCTACTAGCAATTATAAGCCTGTCTCAGCTTGAAGGAATTACACAATAACTTTATTGTCTTGAGTTTTTCAAGGAGGTAGCACAAAAAAAAAAAAGAAAGAAATCTGCACAAGCTGTAAAAGCCTTGCAGCCATAAAATGTTGGTGAAATAAGCAAAACACAGCCACCTGGTCCAGGCAAAAAAACAAAACAAAAAAAAAAAACCGTCAAACAGCAAAACCTTTATAGAAAGATGGGGAAATGATCACAGATTTAAACAAATTATTATGAATTTAGGACAGACATGGAGGTTGTTTTCTACCACTTTAATGCACATGGATCAGTTCGTCTTTAAACTATTTTAGCTAGACATAAATTGGCAGTTTGGCAACAGAATACCATGAATTCTTGTGCTTGTTTATGAAAGCACCTGGCAGCTAGCCAAATTAACAACATAGCTTAAAAATAAACAGCTTCCTTGAATGTCACTTCATACTTTCCTATTGGTAATTTATAAGACAGAGAATAGTGCCAAAACACACTAAGCCAGAGCTGTTCAGCTAAATTGTTCAGGGGGGCCACAGTTACTTACAGCAGCTCAGGGGCTGTACATGCACGGGGTGGGGGTTTGTTGCCCGATAACGGTAGGGGAAACACTAAACAAGCATTATTATCTTTTACCTTTTAAATTTGTTTATTTTGCTGCAATAAAGAATACATTTCAAACTTATTCAAATTTAATTTTTTATAGTAAATTAAGCAAAAAAATCATAATTCTCTGTATAAATATATTTTATGTTTTTAGGAACTCACTGGTGGGCTGGATTGAAGTCACCCGTGGGCCAAATGTGGCCTGTGGCCCTCCAACTGATTAGCCCTGCTATAAACGATTTATTGAATCAATTGTTTTTCCATCTAGAATAAGACTAATCATACAAAACGTTGGCACAGCAAATGATTCCACTGATTTTCATTGAAACAAACTAATGAAAACCTTTTTAGACTGGGAGTATTTTGGATTATTCACTTCAGTCTCAAAGTACTCTGATGGGATTAAAGTGCCTGTGACATGAAATTTTTAAAATAAATATAAAGGCATTATTGGAAAGATAACATTATTAGCATATTGCAAAAAATAATTTCCCGCTGCTGAGATGAACAGTTGTTGAGATATTTGCATGTAAAGGAATAGGAAGTGATGTCAAAGGGGAATGCCTGCATGGAACAAAACATTGATAAAATAGCTAAAGACACAGACTGGAGAAAAGAATCGGTTGTTTCTTTAGATTATTTTGAGTCACTATCAGAGAGATAAAGATGAGTCAGAGTTCAAATAATACTGTTTCAATAAACAAAGATTACAGAGTTCTCTTTCTTAAAGAGTTCCCCTTTGATGTCACTTCCTGTTGCACTTTGGCTGAGCCAAGTTAAATAAATATCCCATTTATGCGACAAAAAGGGTAAAATCACGTTTTATGCAATGTTTCTTATATAAAAATGTGTTTTCTTTGACTTTTTGTATTTGATGGATAGGCATGTCAGAGGGACTTGCCCAAACCAGCTCTCAAACAGAAATACAACTTAAATTTATCTTGTTGATTAATAGGTCTAAAAGATGTCTCTTTCACTCCATCACTTCCTATGCCTTTTTGTTTTTTGTTGACTAATTCCTGAACACTGGAGCAACAGAGGCACTGAAGACCTGAGGAGAAACAAGCTTTGAGAAATAGTGACCCATGTGGCAAAACACAGAGTTATCCCCNCCACCTTTCTTTCTTCAATATATCTGAAATCTGCTATGAGGGCACATCATCCCACATATGGCTATTCTAAATAAATAAAAACCTGCTAAATTTAGACTGTATGTGCCACATCAGCCTTCAGCTAATGAAGCCCCAAATGGCCTGGAGTAAATATAATGAAAAACATCATGTGCTAATGAAGCTGGCACATACAAAAAGTGTAATCCTGTGGAAAACAACAACACTGAATTGTAGAATACAAACAGGCTCTGGTGTTAAACTGACCCCAATTTGAGTGTCTGTTCCAGTTTAACGGTACATTTTAGCACCGTTTAAACGTCATAAACTAAATAGTTATTGCCCGCCAACAGCTATTATATTTGTGTGTGACTCTGCATTTATTTATCTGTTGTGTTAGCAAAATATCTTATGATCCATTGTATGGATTTTAATGATACTTTCAGAATCAATTATCGGATAAAAACGTCTTGACCTGATTAACATTTGAAGTCAACCCATGACATGGAGGCCACCAGCCAACACAAAAACGACAACAACTAAGTGAATTTGACAAAAATTTAGATAAAATTTGATGCGGTAGTAGCTGAAACTCATCCACATTTTATACTGTGAGAACCAACTTATTGCACAAGATTTAAACCTTATAACATTTGCCTCTACCAGACTCAACTCAATTTAAACAATATTAATCATATAAATTGTAACAAAACTTTCAGAGGAATCAATTGGAATACATGTACAAATTATTTTTATGGAGTCAATGGGAGTCACAGGCAACTTATTTGAGAAAACACAAAAATGTCTCTAACGTGTTAATGCTACAAATATTTAGCTAAAATCTGACGTGGTATGAGATAAGGCTATTAAACTACATACTCCTAAAGTACCACAAATTTTGCAACATCTTTACACAAAGCTTTGTCATTAATGTCATTGTCATTAATGAGCCTTGTCTGCCTGTTAGCAAAATACCTTGTGAACCACTGGGCAGTTTTTAATGAAACTCTTAAGAAAGTAATAACTGAACACACAACTAACTGATTAAATTCTGAAGTCTCTGCCCCTCGAACTGTGACTGCTGGATATGGGCACCAGTGACCCCCATGACCCTGAAGGTATAAGCGGGTACAGATAATGGATGGATGGAATTCTGAAGTCAAACCAACTCAAGTTGGCCGTCACACCTAATCAATCTTAGCAAACGCTAAAATGACAATAATAACTTTGTCAGTTGTTTTTTTTTTAATCCTCCACACATCACAATATGAAGAAATAATACAGAATGTCATCTATAAGTTTCAACTGAAACA